GGGGGGGGGGGGGGGGGGGGGTTCAGAAAGTGTTGACTGATCGTAATAAACGAAGTGAAATGTTATAAAGTGTAAATGTTTATTCAAGTATGTTATCTACAGCTGTAAGCTCGTATTTATAAGGCTCTCTTGAATATACTTACTTCGATAAATTTGACACTTTTTCCAGTAATCTTTATCAGCATCATAACTACTTCTATAATCTTCTGATGTCCTCGCCCGGCAAAAACGATGTAACCTATAAATCGATCGAGGGCGATGTTGCTGGTTAAGATTTAACACGGTTGCAGGGACTGTCGCTTGCGTTTTAGTTTTCCTCGCAATTTCAGAACCAAAAGACAAATACGATATGCAAGAAAAACAAAGAAGCATGATATTAGTTTTTTCAATTTTTTAATCATTTCCTCTACCGGTTCGCTTCTCGCTTCTAAAATATTTACTGTGGGAAATATACAGCAATTATCCGCTGACCACCACGCAAGGTGACCGCTTTGCAAGTTGTGAGAACATCGTTTCTCGGTCCCAGACCTCGTCTCTTACCCCCCACCCCTCAAGTCTCAACCAGTGTCTGTAGCTTCACTCATTTGGATCCATTTCACTCCACTTAATCAGTAAAAGGATAAAGGAAATCCCAACCTCGTCCCCAGGGCTTTCCATACTGCGAAATAGTTATCCCTATTTATTGATAAAAATGCTTTCAGAAAATAAAAAGAAATCTACATATTTTTTTCCAAATTTCGGCTGTATGCATAGGTGTATGTGCGTACATGCACGCTACATTCCTGGTAGGAGAAATAGCTCATAGGTTCCTGGGCCGAGCTTTATACGGATAACATTTTGTTGCTGACAAAAAACCGCCAAAGTGTATTTTTTTGTCTTCTTTTCAAGGAAACGTGGATTTGCTTCAATCATGATATACCAGTTATTACATAAAATTTCGGCACTTAAATTTAGCGATTTTGCAAATTATTTATTTAGCGGCACTTTAATTTAGCGATTTTTCGTAAATTTTGGAACATAGGCACTTAATTTTCGCAATTTCATGAACTGAAACTTTGGCGAATTAAGGTATTCAAAACTTTTTCGATGACAATAGAACGGTTATGTGATGAAATCATAAACGTCAATAACTTCATTTAAATCAAAATCATACAACGTTCTGAAATTTAATTTTGATCGAAACAAATGAGACTGTAACTCTAATGTCATAGGTTAATGCTGTCCTCATTCATATTTAAGGTACATTGTCACACAAAGTCGATGCTCCTTTTATGGGTACCACGTCATATATGTGTGAAACTGACCAGATGGCGGAATTTCATATAGTACTCACTTTAATTTAGCGACGATTTAAATTTAGCGACACTTAATTTTGGCGCATTTTAATTTAGCGATTTTAAGAGAAATCGCCAAAATTTCTTGTAATAGAATAGTTTGACAGCTTTCACATAGAAGGCCAGCCCTGTGACCTAAAATTTCGACCGCCCCCCCCCCCCCCCCCCTTCTTTCCCCCCCCCCTCCCCCCCCGGTTTTATTATTATAAAAAAAAAAAAAAACTCATTTTATGAAACCCCACAGAGGAAGAGGAACCCCCCACCACCCCGCCACAACCCGATCCCTATTTCCCGGCTATGCTTTCACAAAAAAAGAAATAACAATGTCACGTATGATGATATCAC